TCCTCCTCCTCCTCCTCCTCGGTGGTCCAGTGTTGTGCGTCTGTTTTTGTTGTGCGTGATGAAGGGTGGACGGCGCCAGCATCATCGACGGATTGGCGTTGTTGTGTGGGGGATAAACGCTCGTTTTTTGGTTTGGTGTTGTTTTTTTTTTTGGGGGGGGGGGGTGGAAAAACACAGATGTTCCCAGTGCGCATATGTATTGCGCTTTATTATTATTATATAACTGGAGGAAGGGTTACACACCACAGTCAGTGCGCGGATCCCATCGTAGCATCATGGGCGTCGGGATGTTAACGCAGCCGCAGCGCCTGGACTCCGGGGGGGGGGGGGCATTACAGGCCCAGTCTGTGGGAGAGGGCCCTGCATTTTCTGCCAGCATACTGTGCGTTACGTGCTCGTTGCTATAGTTTCTATATTTTAAAAAAGGGGTCTCTGCAGCCTCTCTGCACAGAGGCAGCGGTGGAATGTGGCATCTTTTGGGGGTTGGTGGTGCCTTTAGGTGGCGTTTCCTCTCTTCACCACATTAAATAAACGACACAGTATTGTGCACAGGTCTTGTACAAACCTTAGTTTTCTAGTGTGTTCTTAAAAACATCTCATAGTGAGCGTTATATCGGGAGAAAGAAAAAGCAAAAAGCAATCTTGTAATCTCCCTCTGGTCGCCAACCCTACATGAATCTTAATGGGTTTGTCGTTTCTGTGGGAACACCTTGGGAATAGCTCTCCGGGCTTCTTGGGGGACATCCCACAGCTCTTCTTTTGGATGTGAGCTGCCCTTTTTGTTCCGCTCCCTGTCAAAGGGATCCCACACAGCTTCAGTAATCTTGAGCCGCGGGCTCTGGGGAGGATTGGTCCCTCTGTAAAAACCTGTTACCATTGATCTTCAGTGTCATTTTGCACACCTCAGCTCTTCTCCCTGTTTCCCGTCCTCACTAACAGCAGCCACTCCTCCACGGAGAGCCATTCTGACTCTGAACGGTTGATGGATGGACAGAAGGTCCTCCTGCATCTCTCTGAGTTTCTCGTCTCTTATTGTTTTCTTGCGGACGTCTGCTCTAGATGCTGTTAATGCGCTGCCATTTCCTCCTTTGACAAATAACTGGCTCAGTGGAAGAAATTTTGAAAATGAGGTTTGTTTGCACAGTAACCCACACAAATATACAGTTCTGGATTTTTTTTTAGGTAAGCTGTTATATTTCATTTAAGTAACGGTGGAAAACTAAAAGTTACACGCAGGTTAAAGATTATTATCCCTGCTTGTATTTTAGCCTGCGTATGATTTATTGACTTTATACTCATAAAAGGTCTTTAAGATCCAAGTCTGATTATCTATTACTACCACTTATTTAGGATATTTCTCAAATAACAGCATATTTCTGGCTGGAAAACTATTTAAATGACATTAACATTGAGTGGTCAGTGCACCAGAAAAACTCGGTCGGTGTTGCGTCATCAGATTAGTTCAGTCCAGGAATTGCAAAGATGTTATTGTTTTTCTTGTGTTTTTTTTCATAACTTTAGATGTTTTAGCTGTGCTTTTTTTCACCATGGAAAGTGTAACCGAGGATATGAAAGAAGAAGCAAACAAGTCTTGCTCACATTTGGGTTATCCTTAGTGCACTGATTAGATAGGAAATAGGTTTTTAATCTTCATCGCAACTTTCTAAATCTTGAGATTATGCCTTTTGCTTCTTTTTTTTAATCTGACCAAAAATTCCTTGTCTAAAAAGTGCTCGTTTATTGGAAATCAAGTAAAAGTCCTCTGGGTTTGGGGTGTTTAATGTTCTTTCTATACAGTTTAAACAGTACTTTTAAGAATTCCTCTCTTTCTCATTGTCTTTGACCTGTAAAATATTCCCTCGACAGAGAAATTAATCATTCACTCCGTATTTTCACGTGAATCGCAGTAAAACGTGCGTCTTTGGACATTATACTCATTCAGTTGCTTTAGTCATTCGGTAGTTCAAAAACTACACATTCCAAAGTCCAAAGCCTATCAGAGAATCTAGCATTTCAGCCTTATTGACTGAGAAGTGAGGAACGATTCCGTCTCCCGATGGTTTTGTCACCAAATCAAAACGGAGAGAAGCATCCTGGAATGTGCAAGCTCACATTTTTGGCTTTGATACGGCACTATGTTTAGATCTGGGAAGCGGCCGTGCGCAGGATATCTTCTTGTGCACCGTCAGCCGCCCGGCAGACGGGGCAGGAGCATGTGGTGCGCCGTGGAGTTTTTAGGCACCGTAAAATGCTTTGTGTGGAACAGGGGGATGTGACGAATGCATAGCTGCCTTGGAGGGTTCCACCTATTTTTAAGCACCGAAAGGAATATATATCCTGCCCGGCTTTGGGAAATTCCTCGTGATTTACACCACCCAGGAATCCGCGCTTCGTGCGACGTATTGTAATAAATTACTTTGAGATAAACGTCCCAAAAGTCAGGACTACAATTTTTCCCGTCTGAACACATCTTTGGCTTTATCGCGGCATGTATCCCCCCCCCTTGTTGGTGGCCGTCCTCCAATTGGATCTGGCAGGCATAGCGGTTTAAGCTAGGACTGTTCCGTGTGGGGCCTGAATCCCGCCAGAGTCCTGAGTCTGAGATGGCCCCTGAAGGACAGAAAAAGGAGAGGCGAGCTCTGCGGGCGTGTATCCGTGTCACAGATGGCGGCGGCGGCGGGGGGTGGGGGGTTATATTTAGTCTGGATTGGGGTGGTCTGCCTGCGCTCCCTGACGAGCAAGCCGCCGCGTCGGGTTTCAGTAGGCCTCCGAAAAGGCAGGAGAGTCTCGCAGCTGGCCGGCTCCCCCCGGGGGAGGAATCTCCAGAGAGGGGCACTGGATGCAGAGCCTCCGTGTCAGGGCCTCGGCCTCACTGTCAGCGGCTTGTCGCGGCAAATGATGCCTCCTCCGCTCACAGGGCTTTGCGCGCTCTCCCAGGGCGCCGGAATGCGGAGCAGGTGGCAGAGGCCGCGCCGCGTCCTCGCCAGCATATTCTGTCATTGCGCCGTCTGTTTCTTTATTAGTCCCAGGGAGGGAGGGTATGGAGGGAGGGGAGGGGAGGGGTGGCCTGTTTTAAACCCTTTGCGGTCGCCATGGTGGCCCGGCTAGGCTTTGAATTTCAAACAAAACGTGTGAGAGGGCTCCAGAAGGGAGGAGGAGGGGCATCTGAAAGGATGGAGAATCCAGCAGCCGACAACAGTCCGTTCTATTGGCTTTCGAATTCAAGCATAGTTAGGCAGTCTTTATCATTATTATTCAGCAACGGCATCCGTGACAAACATTTTTTCCACTGATGATGCTATGTGTGAGTAAATAGCTGTCAAGAGGACTTATCTGTGCACATGGTAGGCTGTACTAGCTGGTAAAATATCTGCAGTAAAATGACTAATGGCATCACTGATGAATTACCAGTCTGAAAACCTCCATTTACCTGGAAGCCACTGAATAAATATGGATTTCAACTTGCAAATAAGTGCTTTTTACCCTGTGAGGGACCAAGCTGCTTAGACAACAAGACAAAGGTATTAAAGAAAGACTGGGTTTTGTACATGATTTAAAGAAGAAATATTGATAAATGTTTGGTAAAAGAATTTGACAATCTTCAACATACAAAAGCCAACTGTCTGTGTATGCTGCAGGCAGAACTAACGCGTTTAGATGGTTTCAAATAAAAATATATTTGAAATTGACATAGAAATCAAAACAAAACATCCTATTTTTGTGTGAAATGTGGATGAAACATGACTTAATGTGTGAAAATCTTGCTGCCTAGCGATCGCAAACCCTCTTGAACAGAGAGCTTTCCTGTATAAGATCAAGTTTATCACCTTATTTCTCAACACTTACACCTTATTCACGCCCAGGTATTCATGGAATAACAGTACACGTGCCAAAGTTTCTAAATATGTGGAAAAGTTGCAGATATTTCTTAGAAGAAAATAGCAGGCAAATATAAACATAGTATATTTGCAACATAAATGTTCCTTCTTCTGTGTTGGTCCGTTATTGGGAACGCTGCAAATCCATGACCATGGGAATAAGGCTTTTTAAAATGACTCCCCATCATTAAAGACATGAACTACATTTGCTTCTCAGGTCCTTAATTTGAAGCGTCAAATGTGAGCACCATCTATCCATCAGAGTGTTCGCTCTCTTAACAGGAATGTCGATGTGTTGACAGATGATTAACAAAGTAATGTTAAAGGCTGGAAAATACATCCGAGTCTGTGGAGTGAGTGACAGTATTGTTCTGGGGTCTATAATTAAAACAGTCACCTTCAGCATGGCACCGGGAGGAACTTTTGCATCTGTTCTTTATAGCGTTATGAATAGTTGAGCCAATGTTTTAGTTTTTAAAAGTTCCATTCGGTTGGATGCGATCACCTTCTAACCAGCTCTGATTTCTAATCGGCCTTAAACTGCATAAATGTCATGATGATGATGATGAACCTCCGTCCTAATTGCTGATTTCTCACATCTTTTCACTCTCCTATCAGTTTTTACTTTCACATCTTAAAAAAAAAAACTGTGAAGAAGCGCTAAAGAAAGAGCACCCGTCACAGCCTGCTAATTTAGCTACTAACTTGTGACAAAAAAAGAAGAAAAATAGAGAGATTTCGTTCTGCGCTTAGGCTGGTAACTGTGTGGATGGCATTATATCTTTCTAAGTGATTAATATGTTGGCAAACACCTCTGTTTGCCCCCCTCAGACCTCCTTTTAAGCAAATATGGCCAAATCTACCATGTCAAACATCTAAATTGTCAGGTAAAAGAGCATGTGAGCATTTTCACTGAAGTACGGAGATTTATGATGTTAAGAAAGATCTATCATCCACATCAACTCCCCATAGCAACACATACCGGCTTTGTTTGTACTGAGAAGGGCAATGAATCAGAAAAAATGAGTTTCCATCCTCTTTTTTTTTTAACCCACGTGTTTTTCTACTGCGCACCAGTATAGCTACTGCATGTCCTAGTGAGGGGCCAGTTATGCTAATCTCTATTTCCAATTTTTTTTCATTTTACAGTAGCATGGCTTGGACTCGTACACTTATTATTATTTTTTTTTTATTAAGAAATCAAGGCAAAGCGCAGCTCACAGTTTGAGCACTGAAACATTTTTCCCGTGGCTGACGCACATAAGAGAGACAGATGCATCCTAATCTGCAAATTAGTTACCGAAACACCTGCAAACGGGCAGTCAGCCTTCGCAAATGTACACCCTCTGAGACAATTTTAGATGAAAATCTCATCTGCGTGTGGGGAGTCCACAATACACTGAGTGGGCTTTCTCACCTAAGCATCCAGTGCCCACAGGCTGTCAATAATACCCATTTTTACAGTCTTTTATCTCAAAATGGAGGCCACTTCCTTCCGTGAAACAAACAAATAAGTGGACATGACAAATGGATTGACAAAAATTCTAAAGAGCTGTTCTTTTGCAATAATAACTGATATATACAACAATAAAATAATATTTTTTTCTAACCCACAACTCTGTTTAATTGATTTAATTTGTGCTTCAGAAAGCCGTCTTCACCTTTTTTTCTTCTCATTCATGGATTAAATGAAAAATCATTTAAACCACCATATTGTCTATTTTCTAGATCTACCTTTTTTTCTCCTCTGTTATGAAAAGTCGCTAGGGCCTTGTGTCGGTGAAAGGACAGGTCCGAAGGGCGCTCCTATGCCTCATTTCAGACCGACAAACAAATAAACTCTGGACAAAGACGCGGTCAGAGGACAGAAGGGGGCCACAGGCTGGTGATTTGTGGTGAAAAAAAAACCTTTGTCCCGTCTTTTTATGTGCGCATCCTGCCGATGGGACCGAGTGTAAATACGGTTTACGGCCTCCATAACCCGCTGAGGCTGAGTTACGGGCAAAAGGGGAAGATGGTAGTCATGCTGCTAATGTTTATTTTATCTGTTCCCTTTTTTTTTTTTTTTTGTCAGTGGGAAAGAGTGAGGTGGGTGAGATCCCTCTTGTTGGTTTAGTTTTGAGGCGTTAGGGGTGCGCGGAGACACCCAGCACGGCCGGTTCCCTCTGGTTTCGGAGGGGCCTGG